TCCGTGGCGTGCGATTAAACAAGATGGCACAGTAGAATGGGCGAAAATTGTAAGGAGATAAAGTGACTACGGTATCATTTGAGTATATGGTACCAAAACCAAACCAGCGCTTGATATCGAGTATTTCGAACTGACGACATTTGCCTCTACTTATTCAGGATACTTACAAAAGCAGGATCAGTGCAGCACTCGCACGATGATGAATAGTCTGTAAGGTGGATGATGGATGTAACGACGGTTAGTCCGAGGTTAGTTTGCAAGTCATTGAATTTCGAGTGAATGGCACATACTAAAATCGATCATGTGACGAAGTTAATAAACTTCGATCGATTGATCGATCGATCGAGCGAACGAGCAAGAACTAGGAGTTGGAGAAGTTCTTCGATGAAACGGAACGGGCGCTATATGTGATCAATGACGTGTCACAGGTTTCGCGAATACCCGGGAAGTGTGAAAGTTGATGCTTAGGTTCTATACAAATTACGGTATAAGAATGACTACTACTACAAGGAGGACCAGCCTGGGGCAACGAACGATTCGGCGGAAGAACCGACTTGTAGGACGCAAGTAACACACATAATAGTAGTAGTAGTAGTAGTGGTAGGATGTATTTTGTGGTTGCAGCGACGACGTAACGGATCATCCTATGCAACGCGGTGAAATTCAATGAGCGCACGGCGGCGGCAGCGGCCACCTGGATAATTTTGCAATTTTCGAGATGCCGATGCACCGCAGTATCCGATGGTAAATCGTTGTGTACAAGCGATGGAGAAAACGTGGCCTTTGACGAAAAGGAAAAAGTGGCATAGGCGTTCGCAGACGGCCGGCCACAGTCGTAATTATGGCAATAGCGTGCACTGTAAAAAGTCGGACAGTGAAAAAGCTGAGCGTACCACAAAGCCTCTTGTAGCGCAAAAAGAATCTCGACTTGGTTTTTGCTCACCACGCTCTAGATGAGAGTCGAGCAGCTCGCCGGCATTACGGCAGCCTCCGCCGGCGTAGCTTCTACCGCGCGACTAAAAACTTTCACTGACACAGCGCTTGGCTTGGTGGTGGTAGCTTCTTCTGTCAGCCGACGACCGACCACCGACCACTGACCACTGACCACTGGCCACCGGCCGCCGATCGACCACACTCAAAGACAGACACGTCTTATTGGACCATCGTCGTCGTCTTGCTCGTTCGTACACCACCGTCCATACGTTGTCCGTCGTCCGTCGTGCCGCGCCTGGCTCATCCTCCCCCGAAG